TTTGGAAGAATTAATATCACCAAAATGTCCATACTATCCTAAGCAACTTATAGATTCAAGGCAATCCATATTAAAATACTAATGGCAGTGTCCTGGCTGATGTAGCTTAGTGGATTGAGCACAGGCCTGAAAAGCAAAGGATCTCTGGTTTGATTTCCAGTTAGGGCACATTCCTGGGTTGCTGACCAGGACCCCAATAAGGGGCATGCCAGAGGCAACCACACATTGATGTTTCTCTCCCTCTCTTTCTCCTTCCCTACCCCTCTCTCTAAAAATAAATAAATAAAATCTTTTAAAAATTACCAATAACATTTCACAGATATAGATCAATCAACTAAAAATTTATATGGAACCATACATGACCATGAATAGCCATAGCAATTTTGAGAAAAAAAGAAAAAAGTGGAAGGGATCAGTGTACCTGATATCAAACTTATTTCCAGGCCACTGTAATCAAAACAGTTTGGTACTGGCATAAAAACAGACACATAGACCAATGGAACAGAGCCCAGAGCACAGAAATAAACCCATGTCTCTTTGGTCAATTAATATCCACAAAGGGGGCAGGAGCATAAAATGGAGTAAAAATAGCCTCTTCTACAAATGGTGTTGGGAACTCTGGACAGCTACATGCAAAAAATTGATACTTGATGACCAACTTACATTATACACAAAAAACCCTCAAAGTGGGTAAAAGACTTAAATATAAGCTGTAACACCATAAAAGCCCTAGAGAAGAACATAGGGAGGAAGACGTCAGATATTCCACACAGCAATATCTTTACCAATATGTCTCCTAGAGCAAGGAATGTAAAGGAAAGAATAAAGATATGAGACTTAAAGCTTCTTCATGGCTAAAAAGCCGCCAGCAAAATGAAAAGGGAACCAACTATATGGAAAATATATTTGCCAGTGATACCTCAGACAAGGGTGTGATCTCTAAAATATATAAGGAACTCACATGACTCCACTCCAGGAAGACAAATAATCCAACTTAAAAATGAGCAGAGAACCTGAACAGATAATTCTCCAAGAATGAAATACAGAGGGCCCAGAGACATATGAAAGGATGCTCAGCATCACTAGGCATCAGAGAGATGCAAGTTAAGAGCACAGTAAGATACCACTTCATACCAGTTGAATGGGCATCATAAATAAATCAACAAACAATAAGTGCTGGGGAGGTTGTGCAGAAAAGGGAACCCTAGTACATTGTTGGTGGGAATGGAGACTGGTGGAGCCATAGTGGAAAACAGTATGGAATTTCCTCAGGAAACTAAAAATGAAACTGCCTTTTGACTTGGCAATTCCATTGCTGGAATTATACCTTACTAATCCTGAAACACCAATTCAAAAGAACCTATGCACCCCAATATTTATGGCAACTCAATTTACAACAGCCAAGTGCTGGAAATCACCTAAGTGCCCATCAGTGAATTATTGGATCAAAAAAACTATGATACATTTACAAAAGGGAATACTATGCAGCAAAAAGAAAGAAGGAGCTCCTACCCTTTGCAACAGCATGGATGGAACTTGAGAGTATTATGCTAAAGTGAAATAAGACAGGCGGTAAAAGACAAATGCCATATGATTTCTCCTATAAGTGGAACCTAATGAACAAAACAAACAAGTAAGCAAAATATAACCAGAGACATTGAAATTAAGAACAAACTGACAGTAATCAGTGAGGAGGTGGGAGGGGATAATGGAGGGAAAATTTTGGTAGGGTACTCAGGAACACCTATGAAGGACACATGGACAAAACCAAGGGGGTATGGAATCAGGGGAGGGAGGTGGGGATGGATGGGGTGGGGGTTAGTGGTGGGGGGTAAACGCAGACAGCTGTACTTGAACAATAGCAAAAAAAAGTTTATATAAATAATACAATTATTTATAAATAAAAAAATCAATTTCAGTGGAAATGTTAATCCTACCAAAGTAGGAGACCATTCTGCGTGGCATGGGCCCAGCTCACAATGGAAAGCAAGGTCCGATGCACAGGACCCACACCCATGGATAGGTTCTCTCATGGGGAATCAGGCCTGTAATGTACCCAGGCCGCTTTGAGACTTGCTTTTGCTAAAACTCCCTCACCCTGAATTGAGACAGCAAGTGCTTACTATAACTTCCTAAAATCCATGCTAAAACTCCCCAGTATGGAGTGTAACTGGTTCAACCACTTTTCCCTTTGCATTTGCAAATATCCTTCTGTGATGTGATTAGTGGCATCATCTTCTTTGTTTTCTGTAAGAGGTAACCACCAAAAGCAAACCTGTGCATAGTAAATGAGGACCATCATGTAATGTGCCCAGAAAAGCAATAAAGGCTGGTCAAGGCAAAGGCTGAGGCTTTTTCTCCTCTTGAGAGTGAAGGCATGCCATCCCTTTTCCTCCACAAGACTTGGTAGTCTGTGTGAGTTTCTCATATCTCATCAATGTGGCAGATCCCCCATAAGCTGGGGTGCACATCATACCAACAGGGATTACAAATTTTAGGTTTAAGATCAGACCTGGTTGAACCAGGCTCAGCCACATGCCATCTTGTAGTTTTGTGATGGTAAAAAAGGGAGTGGTCCCATTAGCCACACCCCACTGTGGCTGCAGGTCAGCAGAGGCACTAGACAATGGCATAAACTTGTTCACATCTTTGGAACCTGATAAACCTGAATCTGAACCAGAAAGATCCATAAAGTCCTAACTATGTGACTTTAGACATATCATGTAACCTCTCTGAGTCTCAATTTATCTCTTCAGATTGGAAATAATAATACTGTATTAAATGAGACAAAATACGAGTATAGCATGTAGCCAAAATCTGACATAAGGACAGATCCTTAACAAATTTTGTTAATCTCATCTTCTACTAGCACAAATGCTGCTCATGCTAATGCTCTGTATGACAGATCGTCACCTCTGCTCTGCCCAGGGGTTTGCTGGATAGCAAGGAAAGGCAGAAGACTGAAACAGAAATAAGTATGAAGTACCAACTAACCAAAACAGGAGTCATACTTTCAGGCTAAGTGACCTAGGGAGCATCACTCACCAGCTTTAGGTCTCCAGCTTCTCAATCATGAAGTAAAGGTAGGGGAAATGCCATGTTCTTCCAAAATTCTTGGCTCATGTTTCTTAAAGACATTGAGCTTCCTGGGCACTAACTCAGACCCATTGAACTGCAATCCTTCCAACCCAATGTCCAGTAATTCACCAAATCCTTTCAAGTCTACTTTCTAACTCTCCAAGCCCTCTCATTGTTTCCTCCTCGCTGCCCCACCTCTGTACCTGTCACAGGACTCCTGGATTCCAGTCTTGCTTGTCCATTCAGTCTCTGTTTTGTAGCCTGAGAGTTGGCTCTACAATGCAACAGTGATTCAGAGACTGCTGGCTCCAGCTTTCAATGATTTTTCTACACCTTTGGAACAAAGTCCAAACCCCTTCTATGTCTGTCCATAAGACTCATCTTGACCAGGTCAGTGCTAACCTGTGCATCTTCTTTTTAGATCACCTACCCCAGGTCTTGGCCTTCCTAAAGTTTAGGGGCAGCAAAGATGTCTCTACTGCTATTGATGTTGGCCTATACCCAGCACATGGCCTGGTACAAACCAGACACTGAATGAAAGAGCGGTTACTGAGTGCCAACAAAATCTTTTCCACAAAGTTATGGCAAGTGACCTCTTTTCTGGGCAAAATAACTTTCATGTCCTATGACAAACTGTCTTTTAAAGTCCCTATTGTATTTTCTGCTGGTTGATTAGGGAATAAATAGACTGTAATACAATTTCTATCATTTTTATATTTTGGTAAAAGATTATTTAAAGAACCTTTTTGGGTTTGGGAGAACAAATCTAGTCTGGTTGTTTTCCCCATAGTCCTCAAAATACTCTAAGCGAGTGTTAGTCATTGCTCATTATTTCTAAGCCTGATCTTGCATAGCTATAATATCTGAAGATTTCCTCAAGCAGGAAGTATGTCATGCATTATGATTTTGCTTCCATTTAACCCAATTAAGTATTTGTTTAAGTGATCTGTGCTCTGATTAGAGGTGTCTGTATATGCTCCTTGAACAACAACAAAAAAAGAACAAAGAACAAAGTGACAGTAATCAGAGAGAAGGGGGAATGGGGATAATGGGGGAAAGAAGGGGAAGGGCTATCAAGGAACATGTATAAAGGACATATGGAGAAAGCCAAAGGGTGGTAGGACTGAAGTTGGGGGTGGGGGAGGTTGGTATGGAGAAAATGGGGAAAACTGTACTTAAACAACAATAAAAGAAAATAACAATAACAAAAGAGAGTTTGGTCCAACCTGGAGCCCATCCAGATATGTGAACACCAGTAGCAAGAGAACATGCCCATAGTTGGTTTTATGTGTTTAATAAAACATTTCAGATTATTTTTTTTTAAAAAAAGAAACAAGACCTGGCTCAACTTTTAATTTACATACCAAGCAAAGAACATTAATGGACATATACAATGATTGATCAAACTATACATATGCGCAAAGGCATATATAATAAAACAATCTTTGCTCTGATTATATACAGTAAGAAAGGATCAAAAGACTGAAACCTAGGGGACTATTGACATACAAACTCTTTTTGAGAACCATAGTTATAAATGGTTTCAAAACATACCAATTACAGCCAATAACAATGCTATTCTTGCCAGTCCAGGTCAGTACCAGATTCAGAAAGTATACCCACTCTCTGGGGACTAAGAAGTTTCGGAAGAAGCATGGCAGTGTGATTGGAGAGTCTTGCCTTAGTAACAGCACATTGTGGAAGGGCTCTTCAGATTCCAAACTGGAACAGTTTCTATCATAATATTTTAAACTAGAATCAAAAGACTTTGAAAATAGGCAAATAATAAAGCAAACCAATATAAATATGATGGCAAATTATACACCTTTTTGTGTGTGTGTGAGAGAGAGAGCATTCACACACACACATATACTGGAACTTATAGTATAAAGTAAAAATAAGGTAAAAAAATTGGCCAAAGGTATAAACATCTAATTTTAAAATAATTGATACTTTTGTGGCTGATGAAGTTTTTCCTATTTAAAACACAATGTATTTTTCTGGGGAACAAAATAATGAAAAGTAGGGTACTAAATGACCAAGATAGTAAACCAACCATTGACTTAAAGCTTGAAACTGGGTAACAAGACTGAAGACCAGGAAACAAAAAGGTCCTGGTTTCAGGAGTTCAGAATTCAATTTAAAATAAACTTTCTAGCAAATATGGCCTCAAATGCCTTCCCAATAGACTCAAAGATGAGAGCACCTGAGAGTACAGAAGTAAGGAGAGTTTATACTTACCTTTATATCAGCAATATTTTTTGGCACAGTCTTGGAAGAAAATTTTGTTTTTAGAAATAGTAACATTTAGAGTGACAAATTCCAAGAGATTGTATAAAAGTTCTAGGAGCCAAAAGTTTAAGCACCAAAATTCTTCATCCCTACATGTTCATGTTATAGGAAATTAAAGAACTGAATCTCAGTGTACCTTAATTATTTACAAATGTCTAAATTTTTTCCTCTTTGGAAATAATGTATTTTGCAATTACTTTTGTTCATGTGGTCAGTAGCAGCATTTTTCACCTTTAGTTTTATTCACAATTGTTTCCAAACTGTCAATCTTTGCTACTAATTATGAATCTTAGACAATGTTATTCAAAACCTAGAGCAATCATATATTTGAAAAGAAAAGCCTATTAAGTATTCTCCCTCATTTCCCTGAGAACTTCACACCCTGAACAGCCTGACTCAGCCTAGGCCTCTGCAAAGACTATAAAGATTATTCAAGTGCTGGTCTTAAATCAGTGTGAAACAAAACAGCAGCAACCTCAGCAACAAGAAATTATATGCCATATATACATTGCAGCAAATACTTTATAATTTGAGAATGTTTATAGATTATATTTCCATTCTATTATTACAAGTGGTGAAAAACAAAAGACTGAAAGTAGCATACAAATTATAAATACACAATCTTCCTATGTCATTAACCATAATTTTACTTGTGTTTCTTCCCACTTTATTTACAAAACTGCCTGCAAAGCTGAAACTGATTAGAAAATTCTTTACAGTTTAATATATATCTCTCATTTTAGAAGAAATCAAATACCCAAACATCAAAATGAAAAATGAATTGAACTGTCACAGTCCATTACAGTTATTGTTATCAGATCCACTTCATTTGCAGGTGTCCAAACATAAAACAAATAATTCTTTATCTTCAAATTCATCTGTTCTTAAAATGTTCCTTAAAACCTTTGTTGTTTTCCTATAATACAGAAGAAAATGTTAATGAATACAGCTTTTACTAATTTGTGTATCAAACCTAATACTGTGACCCTACTGTTTATAAATCTAAATACACATTACTGTAGAAATTAATGAAGTAACTCTAATTTGTCAAATAGCCAAACAATTCTTCTATGTTTAATAAAACACATGTAGGAGGAGGAAGATGGCGGCTTTACTCTAGGCAGCGTTTTTCTCAGCTTCTGTGAAGAGGGGGGAAACTTGCGGATCGGTGGAGAGGCAGAGTAAGTGGGCTGGGTTGCCGAATCACTTTTGAAAGCAGGACATCAGAAATTATTGCACTCACTGCAAAACCAGACGGTAAGGAGACGGCTACAGGACAAAAGGGGCCCAGGGATCAGCGCGGGGTCTGGGGGTGCGCCACAGGGCTCCCGGGAGAGGGAAGTCGCTGCTCCCTCCCTCCCCCGAATACGGGGGTGAGCAACTCCAGGGGAGAATGGGTTGCTAGAAGGAACAGATTGGCCAGTTGGACTGAGAAAAAATCGCCCAGGGAATATGAAAACCCACCGAGAAGTGAGAGCCTCTAGCCGACAGGACTAGGGGCATCTCTAGCCTGGTGGAAGTGCAGATCGGTAGAGAGCACAAGCCGCCGGGCTCGGCTCGCGCCCCATAGGGAGGCCGGAATCGCGCGCTGCGATCCCGGAATCTCGAGCTGCGATCCCAGGAGGGACGAGGGGCTGGGTGCGTTCCTTCAGTGGTGGCTCAGAGATTTCCAGCCAGCCTGACAGGGAGAGCCGGGAAAGGCGCCAACATTCCGTCGGAGAGCCTTTCGTTCGGCGGGGAACACGGAGCTGGAAACGGATGGGCTCCCACACCTTCGTCGGGAAGACTGACTCTCGAGCGCCAGTGTTTTCGGGAGTGCCCCGGGTACCTGACAGACTTGCTGAGTTCTGGTTGTGAGAGAGAGAAGCATTTCAAAGGCCCCTCAGCCAGCTGAAGCTATCAAGATCAGAAAAACTGGTCTGGCCAGTTAGAAACCAACAAGAGGTTTTTTTGTTTGTTTGTTTGTTTGTTTTTTTGGTTTTGGTTTTGGTTTTGATTGGTTTCTCTGGCTGTTGTTGGTTGACTGATTTTATCTTGTGTTTTATGTGACTTTTTTTTCAATTCTCATTATTTTTATCTCGCAATCCCTTATGTTTCACTTCCATTCAACCTAATATTATTTTTTCCACTCCAAATTTATCTCTCCTGCACCACATCTTCTGCTTTTCTTTCCTTTTGTTTTAATCTTGCAAGTTACTGTAAATTTGTATTATCTTTTTCTCACTTTTCCGACATTTTTTTATTTTAATAATATTTTGGTATTCTTTTTCTTTCTGTATAATCTTCTTTGCTTGGCTGGTTATACTGTCATTTGATAGGTTCCCCCTGGTATCTCAGTCACAAGGTGTTGATAAGTTACTATCCTTCATCTGCGTTCCATTAATACACTTCTCAAGGTTCTATACTCTTTATTCTTGTTATCTAGACCTCATCGATTCTGCCACAAGACTGTCACTTTACTATTACTGCTAGTAAGACCTACTCTATACAATTGTAAATGCTTCTCAATACCCCTACCTGATCTCAGCCCACTTTGCAATTTTCTGAACTATACTATTGTGGGAGTTGTCTCTATTCTTTTACTCACTACTCCTATATACTAATCTTTAGTCCAACCCTACCTTAGAAGCTGATCTCCCACAGCCTCACAGCTTTCTAGATCCAACTAACAATCCTCTCGTCCCAAATAAGAGTCTTACCCTCTTTCCCTCCTTTCTAAAATGTGAATAGTGGGGTGGAGGATCACAGCTACACTCTAAGGAGCCAAAGGATAACCCATCTCTTCTCTACTGGCTGCTAAAGTAAATATCATAGTATACTATCTTGCTGTTTTAAACCATTTTGCCTTACTCCTCCAACAGATCCCAAAAAAGAGTAGGGGGAAGCTGTGAACACCAGGATACACGAAGGAGATTGCACCACTGAAACACACAAAAATTCTACCACAGAAGTTCACACCATAATTACAGGGAATCAGAACAGTTCAAATTAATAAACAAGAAGAACAAAGAAGAAACCCACGAACAATGAGAAAACAAAGAAACAACCCCCAACTGAAGGGAAACGAGGAAGCCTCAGGAAAAATGCTAAATGAAATAGAGGCAACTCAACTATCAGATAGTGAGTTCAAAACAATGATTACCAGGAAGTTCAATGAACTCACAATGAGCTTTCAGAAATTAGAGGGAAACTACATCAATCTCACTGCAAACTATATAAACATGAAAAAAGGAAATAGAAACTCTCGACAAAGGTCAAGAGGAAATGAAGAATACAATTTCTGAACTGAAGAACACAGTAGAAGGAATGAAAAGCAGGATTGATGAAGCAGAAGATCAGATTAGCGAGCTGGAGGACAAAGTAGAAAACAGCATCCAGAAAGAGCAAGAAAAGGAAAAGAGGCTCAGAAAGAATGAGGAGGGATTAAGAGAAATGCAAGACAATATGAAATGTAATAATATCCGTATAATAGGGATACCAGAAGGTGAAGAAGAAGAGCAAGGGATCAAAAACCTGGTTGAACAAGTAATGAAGGAGAACTTCCCTAATTTGATGAGAGAAAAAGTCACACAAATCCAGGAAACACAGAGAGTCCCAATCAAGAGGAACCCAAAGAGACCCACCCCAAGGCACATCATAATTAAAATGACAAAATTGCAAGACAAAGAGAGAATCTTAAAGGCAGCAAGGGAGAAGAAGGAAGTAACATACAAGGGAGCCCCAATAAGGCTAACAGCTGACTTCTCAATGGAAACACTTCAAGCCAGAAGAGAATGGCAAGAAATACGCCAGGTAATGAGAACCAGAGGTCTGCAACCAAGGCTACTATATCCAGCAAGGCTCTCGATCAAGATAGAAGGCCAAATAAGAAGCTTCCCAGACAAAAGAAGTCTAAAAGAATACATCTCAACCAAACCGGCTCTGCAAGAGATTCTAAAAGGACTGCTTTAAGGAGGAGAGAAGAAAGAGAGAGAGAGAGAGAGGAACACACGTACATAAAAGACAATGAATAAGTACCTATCAATAATAACCTTAAACATAAATGGATTAAATGCTCCAATCAAAAGACATAAAATAGCTGATTGGATAAGAAAAAATGACCCACATATCTGCTGTCTACAAGAGACCCACCTCAGGATAAAAGACCTACACAGGCTGAAAGTGAAGGGCTGGAAACAATTCTTCCAAGCAAATGGACAGGAAAAAAAAGCTGGGGTAGCAATACTCATATCAGACAAAATAGACTTCCAAAAAAGGTCCATAAAGAGAGACCCAGAAGGTCACTTCATAATACTCAAGGGAAGAATCCATCAAGAAGACATAAATATTGTAAATATATATGCACCCAACATAGGAGCACCCAAATACATAAAGAAAATCTTAGAGGACTTCAAGAAAGATATGGACAGCAACACAATTATAGTGGGACATTTTAACACCCCACTATCAAAAATGGACAGATCTTCTAAACAAAATATCAACAAAGATATTGTGGCATTGAACAATACCCTTGATGAAATGGACTTTACTGATATATACAGGGCCCTCCATCCAAAATAAGCTAAATATACATTCTTTTCAAATGTACATGGAACATTCTCAAAGATAGACCACATGATAGGACACAAAACAAGCCTCAAGAATTTCAAGAAAATTGAAATCATACCAAGCATTTTCTCAGACCACAAGGGACTGAAGCTAGAAACCAACCCGAAGGGAAAAAAAAACAAAAACACTCAAAATCATGGAGATTAAATAGCATGCTATTAAACAATGAATGGGTCAAGAATGATATTAGGGAAGAAATCAAAAGGTTTCTGGGAACAAATGAAAACGAACTCACAACAACCCAAAAATTATGGGACACAGCCAAGGCAGTCCTGAGAGGGAAGTTCATAGTGATACAGGCCCACCTAAAAAGGTTAGAAACATTCCAAAAAAACAACCTAAGCCTACGTCTACAAGAACTCAAGGAACAACAACAAAGGCATCCCAGAGCAAGCAGAAGGAAGGAAATAACCAAGATCAGAGCAGAATTAAATGACATAGAGACTAAAAGCACGATTCTAAGGATCAATGAATCCAAGAGCTGGTTCTTTGAAAAGATAAACAAAATAGACAAGCCTTTAAGCAGACTCATCAAGAAAAAAAGAGAGAAGACCCAAATAAACACAATCAGAAATGAAAGAGGAGAGATTACAACAGATACCACAGAAATACAAAGGATTGTAAGAAATTACTACGAAGAACTGTATGCCAAAAAAATTTGAAAACCTAGATGAAATGGACAACTTTCTAGAAAAAATATAATCTTCCAAAACTCAATGAAAAAGAAGCAGAAAGTCTGAACAGACCAATAACAACAAAAGAAATTGAAGCAGTAATCAAAAAAACTCCCAACACACAAAAGCCCGGGACCAGATGGTTTCACAGGAGAATTCTACAAAGCATTTAAGGAAGAGCTAACCCCTATCCTTTACAGACTATTCCAAAAAATCCAAAAAGATGGCAATCTCCCAAACTCTTTTTATAAGGCCAACATCATCGTAATTCCAAAACCAAATACAGACACAACAAAGAAAGAAAACGTCAGGCCAATATCACTGATGAACATTGACGCTAAAATCCTCAACAAAATACTGGCAAACCGCATCCAACAATACATTAAAAAGATTATACACCATGACCAAGTGGGATTCATTCCAGGGATGCAAGGATGGTTCAATATTCGCAAGTCAGTAAATGTAATACATCACATAAACAAAAGCAAAGACAAAAACCACATGATCATATCAATTGATGCAGAAAAAGCATTTGATAAGGTACAGCACCCATTCATGATAAAAACACTCGGCAAAGTGGGAATAGAGGGAGCATTCCACAACATAATAAAGGCCATATATCAGAGACCTTCAG